ATTCTTCCTAAATCATCATAATGAAGTACTTCGTTGTTCATATGATTACTCGGTTTAGCCATAAGTAGTAATACACTCTAGAACCACTTCTAAATATTATAACTGTAAAGTTCTTAAAAAAATTACAAACGTTTCGATTTTTAGTCAATCCCCAAATGCCTGAAGTACGTTTTTGCATTTAGGGGGTTTTGAATTCGACACTATGTACCACAAGACCCAATAATTTGTTATGGACGAACATATGTTGATATGTACATGCAAATCTAGGGGTAGCAAATTATCCCCAGTTTTAAATGATATGATGCGGATCACGCTGGTATTTTATATACATCGATGTAGAGATATTATTGAATACTTGTCAGTTCACATGACACGGAGAATATGCATTTATATCGCACTGGAAAATTACAAGTTTATTCTATGCATTTATTCATCGCGTCGTTCTTCCTAAGATGCAACCACTCACAATGGAGGTCTCCCAACGTATGTATGCTCACAGATTTGGCCAAACTAGTGTCAATCGATAACAAACAAAATTGGTATTAAATTTGCAAATAGCACTATCTCCCAATGCACGTGTGGGCAAAATGTGCAGGAAATTTAGAAAATGTAAAATTTTCCAGCATTGGGGCGCGTTTTTTCCTCCTTTCGTGCAAATATCCCCGCTACACTGGAGCATTGGCAGATAGTTCCACTTGACAATTTTACATATACTAATTTTATTTGAAACTGATTGAAACTAAATAGTTTGGTTCAAAACATTCCTTGTGAGACCTCCATGGTCAGTGTAATCTAACAATCTATCAATACATATATGTCACCGCACAATGGGCCAGGTGCCCGAAAATGTGGCCACTAAGGCAGTATCTTGAATTGGCTATTCTCATATACTATTGTGTACTACATAACTAACTTGTCCTCCGTGAAAAATTTTAAATAAAACGTTACACGCACTCAGGAGAACCAAGGGGGTAAACTTTTTCAAATACATTACGGAGATAGGGTAAATACATTTTCTAACATATCCGCCCATCTCCGGGCTCAATCTACTCCCTATTGATGTCAACCGGTACCCAGTAGTATGATAAGTATTCCCTGCTGCGTATAGCTGCGGTAACCAAAATCTGCTCTGACCACACCCACTCCAAGTTGTTGAAATCAAGAAATCAAATTCAAGCTAAATCGATATATTTTAACCAGCTCAAAATATCCGCAGGCATGCAACATGCCACAGCAGTGTCTGGGGTCACACGGACGTATTTTTATTGTTACAATCACACCCCCAAGGGGGTGTGGCCATCATAAGGATTTTCATTCTAGGTAAACATAGGCATGCGACATATCATTCTTCTTGGCTTTATAAGGAGGTTATTATGGAGAACGATAAATTTAACAACCATATCAACAGGGGGTGTGGCAATTGTACTATGGGCAAGATTTTACGGGTTCTGGCCAAAAATATAAATTCGCCGCACTTAAAGTCATAAAAGTAATTGTTTGCGTACAAGTATAAAATAAAGGATGGGTTTCCAGAGTTAATTCTTAATAGCAAACTGGCGCACCCCCAGGGGGTGTGCCAGTTTGCGCCCTTTTTAGTCAACCCAGGTAAGTTAACCCAGGCACGCGACATGTTATCCTTCTTGACTATATGAGGAGATTAGGATGCAAAACACGAAATTCAAAAACCACACCCCCCTGGGGGTAACCATAAAGGCCTTTTTTAGTCGAAGTAACCCAAGGATTTTGTCATGCTCAACAACATCGACAAAGTTCTGACTGTTTAGAAGTAGCATGCAAATATCAATTCTTAAAAGTGTTTAGAAATGTATTTTTATAATTTCATGGATGCAATTTTGAGCCAACGTATTGTTTAGTGTTTGTAATCGCTTTAAAATCGGGAAGGTTGCAGCGTTTTGAAAATTCCTGATCTTGGTTCGAAATTCGGGCAAAGTAGAAAATACGCACATTCAAGAAAATGCGTAAAGATCTTGAAAATCATTGAACCTTTGTTGGAAATCTAGTTTTACTCTGATTTTCATGATTTATTCTTGATTGAAACAGAAAATGCTGAAAACCTTAAAAATCTTCAATTTTCTAATAGCTAGAGGAGACAATCTCTACAAGGTATTGCAATTGTTAACAACTCATGGGGGAATGATTCTTAGAGCCGTAAAGTTGGAGGATAGTGGTCTAGTATGTTAAATACTATAAGGCCTTTAAGAATACAAAAGTTTCCCACTGACGATTCTTTTTGACACCAAAAAATCTTGTCATGGAACAAAGCTTAAAGCGTGGCCGCTACATTATAAAAATATTTAAAATGCACATATAGGCATCCATATGCTTTCGTATATTCAACTTTTTAAATTTCGCCAAATAAACTGTAATTTGGCAGAAATTAGCTCCATTGGTACCGGGTTTACAGTTTCTGGCCTTTTCTTAATTACTATAGTGCATGACAATAAATTATATATATGCATATGTATTACATAACCCTATCTGCATCATTGTTCAACAAAACTTTTGTAAACGTATTTATTTGACGCCTATAATATAAGATGAAGTAGGTGAGATTAATTTGCAGCTGTTAAGACCATACATGAATTAGGAAGACGATAATTACTTTAATTCATTAATTAAATTAATTAATCCTTAGCAATTAGTATGTATGTCAGTCGTCATAATCTATGGAGCCAACTGGCATAGGATAATGCTCACATAAAGGTAAGCTGCATCAACTCGACCTCAGCTCAACAATGGGGATTCGACACAATATCTACGATTGGGAAACCGCACCCATAGTGGGTGTGGTTCCCAGAAAAGTTTCGATTTTAATAAAACCATGCAATCTATATTATAAGCTGGAAATGTCTGTCCGCAACGGAAGCGAAAGTAATTTTCCGTGACGGATGTGAAAGTGGAGAAAGTTAAGTTTCGAATGGCTCGAAAATTCAAAATAAATTAAAAAATTAAAAGTCAGTCATTTCCGTTTCTTACAGACATTCGCATCTTATAATTGTCCCTCGCCCGGCGGGAGACGGGCTTATACGCTAGTGTGTTATACCATGTTTCTCAGCTCCCGAGGGGATCCCGACAGAATTATTAGATTTTTGAAATCACGCCCCCAGCGGCGTCCAGCCACTTGTTTTCTCCAATTTTAAATTACACCCACATCGAAATAGCACCACCAGTATTTCTACGTTTCGATTAAGGCTCGTGTTTTCGGTTGTGGCGGTTTTGAGTGCCATTTCAGTTCAAATTTTAATTTGTCAAAAAGTTTAATGTTTTATAATTTTAACGCTATATTAAAAACGAATGAACACAATTATTTCTCAATAATTACTGAAAATAAAATTATGAAAATACGTTTCTGAAAATTTAAACTTTTCATGCTATTTCCGAATTTTGAAAAATGCAACAAGAAATTGTAAAAAGTTACAATTTTTGAAAATGTGGTTTTCCTAATTTAATGCAATTCTAATTATTTTGTCGAAATTCCCTCGTTTATTTAAGATAAATGATGTATTACATGACATGGTATAGTTAAAACTGAAAACTCGCTGCAAGCTGATTTTAGGAATTCCGCCGAAACCCCCTTGACCAGCTAAGAAAAATTATATAACACATTGCATGGTTTTCTTAGAATCGACAGTTTTCTTTGGGCCACACCCACTGGGGGTGTGGTGGCAAAATTGTAATGCTTCTGTCGATATCCCCTAGTCGAGCTGAGAAAAATGATATATCACAAGACATTGTTTCGTTGAAATCGAAAAGTCGCCGAGGACCACACCCACTGGGGGTGTGGCATGTGACTATTAAAAATTTGCACATTTAATATATGCCTTAGGTTATCGTTTCGCACCAAAATCTAATTCTTGTTTCTTCAAATTCGGCTCCTATATATTTTTGGCCACAATTTATTAAATCTGGCCCATAGTGGCACCGGTATGATTTTATTTTGACATGCAACAAAGTTTGTCACGATAACACCTTGAGAATTTGCAAATTTAAACAAATGCGGATTTTGAAACATTCGGTCATGGGAGAATTTTTTAAAACCTTCAAAACTCGCGATTAAAAAAAATTATAACTTATTTTTAAAAAATCGTTCAGAACTAGCCAAGATATCAAAATATTCACATTACGTCGAGCTATCGATAAAAAATAATGTCTCCAAGGAAACAAATCACTGTACGAGTTAAAAAGTGAGCTTTTGTGTCAAAAATTGTGGCTCTTGATCTTTTTGACATTTTTTAAAAATACGTACGGTGCATATCCTTTGACAATCATTCTTGGGTACTAAATACGTTGCAAATTTTCAAGCTTTTATCGTGACAGATATGTAAGATAGAAAAGTTTGTCTACCGTACAATTTAATTCGCTCCCTACTGTAGCTTAATTAAAATGACAAGTTTTTTTCTGAAACACAAATCCTCATGCAAATTGTAAAAACGGGGAAGACACTTTTATGTAAACCTTAAAAGAGGTAAAGGCATGTAGGCATTTATTGGAGTTGTGGAATGGTACATATCTAATACAAAAATTAATTAAAATATCTAGTTCTCAAATTATTCATATACTTAAGTAAACACTCATAATGTGCATAAATATACATTCTTTCACGAAACGTGCATTCGTAAAATGAACGTACGAATCCCTCACAACAAATTTACAGCAATACTTATTCATGTTAAAAATATTTTGTTACTCACTAAACACAGTTATGGTTATTTTCACCGGACAAAATTGCATGAAGCAGATGCTCTTCATACATTCATACAAAGAGAAATACATATTCCCCATCATTAACTGAGCTGGAATAAGCACATGGAGACAAACTGTGTGCAAATAGTGCCACACACATATGTACATATATAAAAATTACGTAAATTTGACGCGATACTTTATCTCACTTCACTTGACTACAACGAAGAATTAACGAATCTTTTAAACGAAAACAAGATATTTAAATACGTACTTATTAACACACTCATGAATATTCTGCTCCAGTCTGCCAGTCGACCTTAACTATTGAGCCACGTTTCATAATCGTAATTAATTACACAGATAAAGAATCAGCATATGTAGCTTTTAAACAAAAACAACAGTTATCTACATTATAAGCTGGAAATGTTTGTTGGCAACGGAAGTGAAAGCATTTTTCCGTGACGGAAGTGAAAGTGGGGAAAGTTTCACTTCCGTTTCCAACCGATATTTCCAGCTAATGATATTGATACAAAACAAAAATAATTCTGTGGAATTATGAATAATACCACTTAATTTTCACGAAAATCAATGAAGCTCGGCGTGAGACGGGCTTATACACTAGTTCATGTATACGTTGGAACACCGTTTTACTCTGCCAATCAACCCAAACAGTTTAAATGCAGATATCTGCTTAAAAGTAATTGAACCGATAAAAATCCCATTGTCCAGTACTTTTCGCCTCAATAAAAGCAGCCTGGTATCCGTGGTGATATTCAGTTCGAATCAGAATGCTCGGGAAAGCGAGTGACATTTTTTGTAAAAATTTAATTTCAATTTTTAAATTAAAATGGTTTCGGGCGTGTTGGTAGCTCTTGGAGCCGTGCTCGTGGGACTGTTTTACTTTGTCTTTTTGAGTAAACCGAGATGGAAAAATGCTCCACCAGGTAAAAATCTGAGGGCATTTTTATAATTCGTGAAATGTTTGTAACTTTTATAATCTGATTATTTAAGGTCCGAGTGGAATTCCTTTTCTAGGAAATTTACTACAAATGGTAATAAACTATGTACATACATAAATAGTTTGTATTTTTGTTTACGAAATACTGGACAAAAAAATCATAAAATACCAATTGTCGAACTATACTTCCTACAAAGTTTAAATTTCAATATCTGTTGAAAATAATCTTTTTTTAATTTTCGAAATTTTTTTCTACCTGTAGGACAAATTTCAACACATTACCTTCAACAAGTGGGCCAAGGAGTATGGACCGCTCTACAAAGTGAAGCTCGCCTCGTTAAAGTAAATACTGACAATATCTTAAAATACTTACTCCGGTGAGAGGTCATTTCCCTGAAGAATAAAAGAGAGATGCAATTTCTTGAGTACACAAAGATGTAACCCGCAAGATACAAAATTAACATTGGTCGGTAACAAAATTATTACCAGGATATACATGTTTATTTACCGCTACTATGTAGAAATCGGCCCTACTTACTACCGGATGTATTTATTTGAGTAGAATTTAGTCATCATTAGGGAATTAAAAATCAGAATATTTTTTAAAAAACTGGGTATCGTTTATTTAGATTTTGGCTTATTTAAAAAAACGACCTTCGATTAACTCGATTTTCGGTCCTTCCCAAAAACCGATGTTCGGTTTTTAAGTTGACAAGACCGGTTTTAATGCCTCATTATATAAAAATCAATTTTCTTTTCCAGTATGCTTGTCGTTTCGGACTACAAAATGGTGAAGGAAATCTTCTCCGAATCCGCATTTTCGGGTCGGATGGACTTCACCGATTTCGACTTTATCATGGACGGAAAACTGCACGGAATTATAAACACGGAGAGCGAGCATTGGGAAGAACTCGGGAGATTTACGCTCAGACAACTCCGCGATTTCGGTTTTGGCAAGAATTCCATGGAGGACTCGATCATGCTGGAGGTCAACGACCTCATCAAGGGACTAAAGGCTGCGAATGGAAAACCTGTCAGTAACGTGAAGGAGAGGCTGCTTCTAGCCGTCGTGAACGCTTTGTGGGCTATTTGTACGGGGATCAGGCACAAACACAATGACCGAGAGTTGATTGGAATGACGGAGAAAGCGAATAAGTGAGTTTTGCAATAATTTAATTACATAATTTAATTCATGATGATAGTTTATTTGTCAATAATTGGTCTCATAATTATTGAATGAGTTCTGCAGATTTTTATTTAGTTTCTGGTCCAAATACATATATTTTTTTAGACCTTAAGTTTATTTATAGCGTAAAAATGTTTGAAGATTATAATTACTTCGCATAAATACTTTCCCAGATTTTAATTATTTCTGACAAATACTTTTCCAAATTTTAAATATTTCCGTGCAGTAAATACCTAAGTATATTTGCAAATTTTCAAAATTCCATAGTTATCCAGATTTAAAATATTTCCTACAAATAATTTTGCAAATTTTCAGTACAAATACATATTTTTAATATCATGCTAAAATAAGATTTTAAAAAATTACAAGTTCAGTTTACATTCTTTTTTTACAATTAAACAAGTAACCATTTTAATTTTTTCAGAGCCTTCGAAGGAATTTTGGAGGGTGGTGGAATCATGCTGTTTATGCCCTGGGTTGCCAAAATGTTTCCTAAATGGTCCGGATACGGATTAGTAAAACAAGAATTGCTCAATTTTACCAACTTTTTACGAAAACCAGTCACCGATCATAAAAAGACTCGACAGGAGGACTTTGACCGGTTAGAAATACAAAACCCAACAATTTTAATCGGAATATTTATTGTATTTTTTAAATTTTTGTAGAGATTTTACCGACGTATTTTTGAAAGAAATTCAGAAAACTACTGATCCTAGTTCCGCATTTCATGGACAATTGGGAGGTAAATAATTGTGCATAATTTTTATTTTTAAAGGGACCGAACATAAAATATGTGATCGATTTTGGGGAGTTTTGACCCCTACAGTCAATGGAAAAACTATTGGCAACCCCCACGCCAGCTAAATAAAATTGGCTGTAGCCTTGGAGTGCATTATACAATTGGCGTGAAAATATGTTCGCATTTAGCAAATATAATGTAGTTTTCGATTATAATCATGTTTTATTGATTAAAATTAGATTAACAGTTTTTAAATAATTTGTTGGAAAATTTGCAAAATTAACCCGCAAAAAGTATTGGCAACATGTGGCCAAATTAATTACGCGGAACAATATTCTTAATCACCTACCCTATTTCATTACGGTAAGTTAATTAGGTGACAAAATATGACGATAGCTACATTTTAAGTCAGCAGTTGTGTTGTCTGGAACCAAAATGGCGACACCAAACGAGTTATATTTGGCGGCAAGAAATATTCATTTATTTTTCGCAAAAAAACCTGGATATCTAAAAATCAATGGAAAACATACTTTTTCATATTTACTATTGGAAATGTAGCCAAGAAATATAAAATGGCAATTTTAGTTTCTGCTTTTCCATGGTTGCGGAAGAAAAAAGTCACCTTCGCCCAAAGGCAAATGATGAATCAAGCAACAAATTACTTGAAATCGGAAGATTTCAACATCCAAAACCAATTAGAATTTGAGAACCAACTGTGGAGTTAATATTTCATACAATATGGTGATCAATCAAAAATCCTACCAAGGGGTTTTAGGGTCCAGTAGCCCCATAGAAGAGAAGGCCCCCGAAACGAACCAACTCAAGGTATTTAAATCAGCTAAATACCACCCTAAATAGACTTCCAACGGATGAAGAAGGGTCTAGTGGTCTCACATAAGTAAATTTAACTTATTCGGTGCGGGTTCGATGGTTAGAGTTTGGAGGATGCAAAATGAGGCCCTCAAATATGAATGCTGCCGTCTGGGAGTCAAGCTCGGAATAGGATCGATTATGGTTTGGGGTTGAATGACTAGGTCGTTGCGTAGTTAGCTGGTAATTATCGATGAAGTTATGACCAATGAGGTCTAAATAATCATTCCAAGCGATAATTTGAAATTATTTTGCAAAAACCTGACCTAGGAAGGAATTTAATGTTCCAAAAATGCAGTGACCCCAAACATGTAGCCAAATTAGCAATGCAAGTTTTTGGGGATCTACGAGGTTAAGCTTCTCTCGTTGGTTGCACAGTCTACCGATGTGAATCTGATTGTCTGGGTTGAGAAAGGAGAGACTGATGGAAAACCACTCGTCAAAAAACGAGCTGGACAAAATTTCAAACGAAGATTAGGCAGACATGTTAAAAAGCGTTATAAAAAGATTTTTCCAATCAATTACAATGCGTATTTCTGCTCTTATTGTGTCGAGGGGAGGTGATATGTATTACTAGAAGCAGTTTGTCGTAATAAAATTTGCGTTTTATTGATTTATAATTTTTTAAGTTAAGGGTTGCCAATCCTTTTTGCTGGTTAATTTTGCAAATTTTCCAACAAATTGTTTAAAAACTGTGTTAATCTAATTTTAATCAATAAAACATGATTATAATCGAAAACTACATTATATTTGCTAAATGCGTACAAATTTTCATGCCAATTGTATAATGCATTCCATGGCTACAGCCAATTTTATTTAGCTGGCGTGGGGGTTGCCAATACTTTTTCCATTGACTGTATAACCCGCTGTATGCACTCAAGGTTATAATTTACATAGGAAGGATAGGAGGCCCCTATTTGAACCCCCCCTCAAATAGATCACTCACATGCTTTCTGCACAGTCCCAAAAACAACCCAATATTCATGAAATTCTACTTTTTTACTAACTTTTAAGAGGACAACCTTGCCGCAACTTTGGGCGATTTATACTTAGCTGGAACGGACACCACTTCCACAACTTTGTCCTGGATGATGATCTACCTCAGCAAATTTCCCGACGTCCAGAAAAAATTTCAGGCAGAGATTGAATCCATTACAGGAAATAGTAGACCCACCACGGTTTCCGACAGACCAAAGTGAGCAAAATTAGTAATCGACTTTTAAATATTTAGCTCGATCTCGATTAACGGATCTCGATCCGTTAATTAAAAATTTGAACCGGTTTGAATCTCAAACAAAAATCATAGACACAAAACGTTGTGATTATTTAAAATGAGATCTGCAAACAAGTCTTGATTCCAAATTTGTCCCCAATTGCACCAAATCGTTCCTTTATTGCTGCAAAAATTTATTACAAAAAACTAATACGAACATTAACTTTCAAATTAAAACCAGAAGGTTTTTAATCATTTCTTGCTTCTGGGAACTTAACTAAAAACTCTCGACGACAAATTTGTACAACTTCTGGTTCCCAGTTTTCAGAAATATGCAATCCTAATTTTAATATTTCTAAAAGTTGGAAGATGCCTTGAGAAACGTATTCCTCTGAATTACAAAACTCACCCCAAGTATTTACCAACGTTCTGTTTAAGACTTGAAATTTAAAAAATACAGAACCTAGAACTAATTAAAAGCAGGGACTATATTTTGAGACCATCTAAAAAGGATTTTTTCCCCATTTAAATATATAAAATTCCTGAAGCTACTTTTGGCCATTAACAAATATTTATATGACGAACCATTTAAATGGCCAACATAAGTTATTTAAATGGAAATCTAGGCATAGTTAATGGCAAAAGTATCCAATGGTAAATTTAATCCATTTAAATGGGAAATGCAGCCTTTTCTAGTGGCCCCTAAATCCGATGCCTTAAAATCATGCAAATTTTTCCGATTCTGGTGATGAGTCAGACATACAAACATATATTAATAAAATTGCTCATACCCAATTTTTCCTACAGAATGCCCTACACTGAAGCCTTAATCGCGGAAACGCTCCGCTTCTCCACCATCACCCCGCAGGGCGTGCAACACAGGGCCATCAAGGACCAAGAGTACAAGGGCTACCTCATCCCGAAGGACACAGTCATCACGGCGAACGTTTTTCACATCCATTTCGACCCAAAAGTCTGGGGCGACCCGGAGACCTTCAGACCCTCCCGATTTTTGAGCCCGGACGGAAAAACGTTCAAGAAGCACGAGGCCCTCATCCCCTTTTCGACCGGAAGGCGCCAGTGTCTCGGCGAATCCTTGGCGCGAGACAACCTCTTCCTATTCGCGACCAATATTGCGCAAAGATTTGAAATCCTGTTTGACAAGAACGGCCCAGATAACGGATTCGAGTCAAAACTGTCCTTTATCTTAACGCCGAAACCCTTCAATGTCATTTTTAAGGATAGATTGGCTTAATGGAAAATTGCTTGTGTTTAATTATTGACAATCAACTAGAAAAGCAATGTCCTGCATAATGATACAAAGCGTATGCAATATTGGTAAAAAATCACAAAAATAAAATGAGTTAGTATTTACAACATATTTTAAAATTAGGAATTATTTTCTTTTATAATAGTGATTTAGTTTTAATTTTACCATACTACACTTCACATTTATTACGACACATCGTTAGAAGTAGTACCAGAAAGTAATTAATTTAACCTCGGGTGAACTTATGTATCGAGAATACATATTCCTATTTGTTTCCTAAATAAATATATCTCGCAAAGATTTGAAATCCTTTTTGACAAAGACGGCACAGATCGTCATTTTCTCTTCGAAAATTTGGATACTCCTCTATCTAACGCTATGATCAATTTTTGATTTTTTCCAGTTTTGGTAAAACTTCTCCCACACCATGACCACAACATACTTATGTATAACGTCCCCGATTAAGGCATTTTCTTGTAGTGAATGATATTCGTTAAAGGGTTAACCCTATGGAGAGACAAACAAGGCTTTATGTATTGATGATTTAAAACAAAAAGTTATTTTTAAAAACTAATGTATTAAGTTCTGTAATTCCCCAATTTTTGTGTCGAAACCATTACAGATGATCTTTTTTCACGATGAAGTTTCCCGTTAATATGCTAAAACTCACACAACATATACATATAAAATAACAAAGTCTTGCATCCTCTAAAGTAATTTTTAAAAAATATTATGCTTCAGATTTTAAAATTAGTCACCTGTTTGTATGCTTGTCATAATAAGAAAGTTTTCTAATTACAGTAAGCAAAAATTTAAATCGTACCCTTCTCTGTGATGTCATAAATCCATGGTTCTCCGTTTTATGTAAATCGATTCTTCTTATGTAATACATCGGTTTTCTAGGAAATTTAATGTAGATTCCGAAAATCATATTCATTTTTCGATTTTCCTTACCGACCATGCACCATTAATTAAAAAGTTGAGCAGAGTTGAAAATTCATGTAAAAAATTAAATCGTACCCCTTCGATTTTTCGATCATCTAATTCTCCCACACACTCAAAAACAATAATTATTACCTGAAATTCGATTGATTTACAGTTTTTAATATTTTTATGTAAAAGGTTTAAATTTTTGTTTACTTTGATGCTGCTAAACATCCTGCAGAATGAGCAGAAAATACCTTTATGCTGTGTAAAGAAAGAGGGTTATTTTTATGCATTGGAAATGACAATGTAATCACAAAATTGCATTGGGGAAGAAGTTTTAGGATGCTACTATCCAATTCATTGTCCAAACATTCAAGAAAACGGGATTATTGGGTAATTTCCATTGACTCGGACACAAAATGGCAGTCAACAAGAGCGAGCATCGAAATATAATCAGCAACATCTTAACCAACTCAGGACTTTTGGACCCGAAAATTTCGTCTGAAGTTCAAGAACAATTCAAAAGAACGGGTTTCACTCAAAAAATCAGAAGCTGGATCCGGGAAAGGGCTTTAAGGGTAGAAGTTGGAGCAAGAGGACATTCATTCATTAGGCAAATATGGCACAGCGTACTAAATGGACCCTGGACCTCAGCGTAAGGATTCAGAATGACTGAAAACGTGTCATTCAGCATGACAGAAGCATGTACAACATATTTAGGTGAAACACAATCATGAGGAAGTGGTAGAAACCTGGAAAAGTTCATAAATCCTAATATATAAATAAGACCGTATAGCATAATGAAGGAATTGTGATGGTTTTGGGCCTTAAAACTTTGAAATAGTGTTGGAACTTTAACTTAATCGACTCAATAATCACTAACGAAGTGTAGCAGACAATTCTGGAGGAAAACCAAGTTCGATCAACCAGGAAATTTCGACTCATGATGGAAATAATTTTGCACTTCGACGGGGACCCCAAAGATATAAGAAGGTTATTAATCGGCACTTCGAGATAAAGCGAGTTATTGCTCTTCCATGGGTTGCATGATCTACTGACCTTAACCCCATCAATAATTTATGGCATAACTGGCGAGGAGAATTTCGAACTAAAACCCGAAGTCGAAACATGACTATCCAGTCCATATAAGCGAAATGTGGGAAAACTTCAGACCGAAAGGGACCAAAAAACAAGTGGAATTCGTGCCACGGTGTATCTAAGCTGTAGTTCATGCAAACTGAGCCGGTACGAAATGTTAGCTAATTATTAGACACAATTTTCATTTAAAAATTAATAGGGTACGATTTAATTTTTTGTATGCATTTTCAATTCTACTCAACTTTTTAATTAATGGTGCAAAATTGGAGAGTAAAATCAAAAAATGAATATGACTTTCGGAATCTACATTAAATTTCCTACAAAACCGATGTATTACTTAAGTTGAATCGATTTACATAAAGTGGTAAACTATGGATTTATGACATCACAGAAAAGGGTACGATTTAAATTTTTGCTTACTGTATAAAGAACAAACCATAGTACGAACCCTGGTGATAGATATCTTAATATTTCTCATATGACACCTTCTGTCTCATATTGCCTCCAAAGTTTGTCCAATTACGAAAATATGACAAATAGTTTTGCATGTCGTCTCAATCTCCCCCGCTCTTCAAACTTAAACCAAATGTTTTACAAAATTGTTTTTTATTCAACATCAATTAAAATTTTTGACATTTATTGTACCCTAACTTATTTATTGCTAACTTTGCCATAAGAAAATTAATAATTGTTTTTCTTCCACACCTCAAATTGTATCAAAAGAAGGCTTTAAAAATGACTAAAGTATGTATTTAATTCATTTAGTATAACTTTATAATATTTTCCGTTCTGTTTTTGATAAAACAAATACTTCATTTTGACTTGACCTAAATCTACGACATATAAATTTTGCGTGACATTAAGACTGATAAAAAGAACTTGGAGAATGGTATAATTCAAAATTAAAAATAACAAATACTAACAATGCGATGGTGTGAAGTGTAACCCTCTGATTTGGTTGAAATTTTGAAATTATGTGGTCCATGTCAATACAACCAACGTTTCTCGAGGCAGTTTGTGCGATGAGCAGAATTTGAATTTGAATTTTGCACCATAAAAATTCTCACAGCCATTCCGCCAGCCAACTCACAGGCTACAAGTTTGCAGCCCAAAAGTTAAAATAAATTATAAATTTCGGTGAATAATGAGCGAGTCCATTTTCAAGAATTTCTTACAAGAAAACAATTACACCAACATTTAATGCATGTCTCGGACATATTTAAATGCTTGCCATAAATTTGGAACTAAAATTAGAAAAAAAAAATTTTCTTTAAAAATCCAAATTTTTCCAAATTTGCTTTATTTAAAAATCAGATTTGAATCATGCAGTCTCACGTTAATAAATTCGTCGCTTATTTTCCCACCAGAATACCCTACACTGGAGCCTTAATCGCCGAAACGCTCCGCTTCTCGACCATCACCCCGCAAGCCGTGCAACACAGGGCCATAACGGACCAAGAGTATAAGGGCTACCTCATCCCGAAGGACACAGTCATCACCGCGAACGACTTCCACATCCACTACGACCCCAAAGTCTGGGGAGACCCGGAGACCTTCAGACCCTCCCGATTTTTAAGCCCGGACGGAAAAACGTTCAAGAAGCACGAGGCCCTCATCCCCTTTTCGACATTGCGGCGCCAATGTCTCGGCGAATCTTTGGCGCGAAACAACCTCTTCCTATTCGCGACCAATATTGCGCAAACGTTTGAAATACTGTTTGACAAGGACGGCCCAGATAACCGATTGGAGTCGAAGTTGTCCTTTATTTTGACGCCGAAACCGTTCCATGTCATTTTTAAGGTTAGATTGGGCTGAGCTAAAATGGTTTCTGTTTTTAAAACGGAGAACAGTCACCGAGAAAAGCTGTTTCCTACAGAAAAATGTTTAGATACAAACTGTATGCAAAATCAGTAAAACTTCTTGCTAGTAGAAACAACAAATATTTATTGAGAAAAATTTAATTGGGGAATTTTCCACTTGTACAGTGGGGAGCAAATTAAATTGTACGGTAGAAAAACTGTTCTATCTCGCACATTGACGAAGATAGGGATTTGAAAAATTGCAAGGTAGTACCTCACAAAGATTGTCGTTGAATGCCGTTCTTGTTTTTGAAAAATCTCAAAAAGGTCAAAGGTCACAATTTTTGACCCAAAAGCTCATTTTTCAACTCTTACAGTGATTTTTTTTCTTGGAGGATCGATTTTTTAATCGATAGCTCAACTCAATCTGAACATTTTGATATGTTGTTCAGTTCTCTACGATTTTTTTGAAGAAAGTTAATATTTCCACTACAAAACTTCTCCAACCTAAATAGATCGTTTATCTCAACCAAGTAACCTGACTACGGATTGGCACGTGTCATTGCGAAATTTGAACTCTGTGCTCCCATCAGACGAGGACAAAGCTACGATTAGAATATGAATGGTCTGATTCATCTATAGTTCTAAGGAAGATGATTTGTCCAAGAGTTTTATTACCAATCGAGGTCTCCTAACTGATTTTGACCAAACCAGTATCCCTCCAGCACAAATAGAGGGTGTTGAATAAATTCGTCCCAATCTTTTCCAAATATTTAAAATCAAATTCTTTGAAAAGTTGGGTTCTTTAAGTCAATTTTACGAGGATCACGGTTTGACTTATATGCATTCCACAGATGGTACAAGTTCAAAGAAAAATGTTAACTTGTTTGAAGACTATGCGTAAATGTCTGCAAAGACATCATCGTCGGGACGAATAACATCGACACCCTTTGTAATTAATAAGAAATTTTCAAGTTATAGCGGAGACAATTGCAACTGAAGGGGAGAAAAAGCTGAGGAGTTCAACGAGGAAGAAACAAAGAGAGAAGAGAATCGGCAAATTTTGCACTTTGCAAATCTACTGGGCGTTTTCTCCTCTTCGAATGCACGTATGTATCTCTGCCAAAAATCATTACCTATGCATTTTGCGATTTTTTGTATCATTTGCAACTTTCATATAAATTGTAATGGGTGTTGATTTAATTCGTCCCGTCTTTTAATGGCTAAAGCTACATTTTCGCATGATTTTCAAAGAAGTTTATATTTATTTTTCAAATTTTACCATTCGTAGAGTGAAGATTAATTAGTCATAATCATGACCACCGTAATATTGACGAGAACAATCCAAGTTCTCAAACATGTTTCAAAATATTTGGGGAAAATTAGAACCAAATAAATTAACACCCTTTACATATTTATATTTGTGATAGGATGAGACTACTTTGGTGAAAGTAAGTAGAGCATATGCTGGGAGACCCCCATTCTTACTAAGGAAGTTTTAATACATTTACTCATCCAAATTTTTGCTGTGTAATTTATTGATCTGCAGGTCGAGTGTATGAATGGTAAGCGTTGAGACATCTTTATTTACTGGTCAAAAATTGCATAATATTTAAGAGTAACTTAATACGCCTCCTGTGTTGTCAGGTTTCTATGGATTTGAGCAAAATACGTACATTAAACTTTAATGAATGCATTCGTTCATGAGACTTGGCAAACATTCTTATCGCTTGTACATGTGCAAAATTATGAATGCGACCAATACAAAATGCGCATATAAATATACTAAAGAATAATCTCCGCAGTTTGTTACGTCAGTGAAGAAAAATTATGCAACCACCGACTAGACACATCGTGCATGATGACTGATGACAAGTAAAAACAAGTTTATGATCATATTTACAGTTTCGTTTGTTACGCAGAAGAGTTTTCCAACTGATCCACGATTACATTGGCCGAATGAGCCGAACCGCATAACGTGTTCTAATTTATTTAATCCCAGTTATTTTATTTTGACGTGAAAATCATTCAATTTCCCAAATTCCAGACACAAAATTGAATGAGTTTCACGCCAGATCAAAATATACTGGTATTAAGTAATATAATAATTCCGTTAATGTAATCGTGGATGGATTTGAACTGTTACAACGAACCCAACACAAACCTCGTGAAAAATGTGGAAGAAAAATTTTTCAAATAATTGGCGGATAGCAAAGTTACCGGAATTTGTTATTTATTTATTTTTTTAAACCTCGGTTTCAGTTATTTTGAAAATTTAGTTTCGGAAAATTACATAAATTCAAATATTTTACAAAGATCAATTTATTTATTTATATGGTTTTCTCAATATAAATGTCATTAGTTTTAAACAATCACAATAATTCACTACTTGCTCCATCAGGGTGACGAAATACCCAAATGCGTAGCCGGACCTAACTTGAAAAAACCAATTCGGATTAGGTACCGCTTAAGATAAAGCGTTAAAATCGGTTTTAGAAAAAAGAGTTAAAAATTTGTAGGGAATTTTCGAAAATAGAAAAACTTGACTCTTTACCAAGCTACGCTACCCCGGATTTTATATACCTTACTTAATAAAGAATTCAGCGTGTGTTTACTATTCAAAAGGGGAACATTATTTTTAAGAGTGCAATCCCCAGGATCGGGAAGCAGAGCTCCATAAATTTAATTTGTTACTTATGCAAATATGTAATCGTGTCACGAAACATCTGTTTGTCGCACTCTCAAAAATTGTGTGGCGTTTTAGAAAATTAAGGATATTATTACTTTTATACTACGTAAACTACTAAATCCATAGTAACGTTACCTTCACGAATATTACATAAATAAATCCTTACTCTGAATTTTGTGTGGTTTTTATTTAGCATGAAATTCAGATAAGATATTCCGCATATGTACATATTTATTTACATGCACGTAGCTGCATAAAAATATTAAGACTGATTACTTATTAATATCAAGGCTATCCCATTAAGCGAAACGAAGCTAAAGAAGTATCTATATTAAACTTATCATGGTTGTCTAATGTACTTATGTTCACGATTATTCTAGAAATATGTAATACTAAAGTCGATGAATAACTCCAAAACTTTCGGGCTTTGTTCGAACAACATCGACTCGGTTCCCAATGATTCGGTAAAAAATACCTTACATATTAGTTAAATTTTACCACTTAAATAATTAGCAAAAGAACCATAATTAACAAATCTGATTAACCGTCAGGCTCTACCGCTGCTTTCTTTAGATGCACCAAACCAGCATGTCATTTTTGTCTATACTTTTTTATCTGCACTGCATAATCCCGGTGTAGCTTGAAAAAAGGTTCTATTGTCAGTGATGGAAAAGATGTCCTTTTGAAGAGAGAATAGGTACCTATGGGGTTAATATTATGGTCATATATACCATGCATCCTTACTTCTGCAATCACCAAGTTTATGTTTATATGAAACAATTTGTTACTAGTAAAATGACCAAAATTCTAAGCGGAGGGCATTGATCCCCTTAACCATTTCGATCCCTTCTATATTTAATAATACCCTTGAGCCTGTTACAAAACTGCGGACGAGTTTAATGAGTCGTTACACGTAAAGAACATAAAATATGTGTCGTTAGTTGTGTTCGCTTCATCTATCGATGTATCGAGTCGGTACTCCGTTTACAGAATTTTTGTACCCAGTTTTACATTTTTGCGGTAATCAATTTGACCAGTGTGACGACCCCGAAGCCCTGGTAAAGTGTGGAATAAATAGATTATCGTATTTTCTCCTGCTCCTAACCTATTTTGCAATGTTGGGATCGGCCAGGATGGAAATATCGATACATAAAATGTTTGATAATCCACTGGTACGTTGCACTCTTACGAATTCTGATAAAATTTAATTCCAGTTATCAACGTTACACTCTTAGCAAACTGGTAATAATTTAATAAAAAATATTATTACCGAGGGTTTGGTAATAACCATTAATTCCACCACGGTAATAAAATCATTACCAGCTTTTATAAATTTTGGGTAATGGACAATATCGGTAAATGGTAATATTAGTTTTCCCCGAGTGGCGATGACTCCACTCCGCGAGGAATTGAATCAATGCCATATTGTGCTGACAGTCAATGCCGATGTAATTTTACTAAAGAGTAACAAATATACACCAAACGGTGTAAACAATTTTCATAATTTGGTATTGTAATATTACTGGTAGAACCAAAACTGTTACCACATGGACGGAATATTCACGCCATAGCCATCATCATTCCTCGTCATCTACTTTGTAGTTACCTTGGCCGTTAAAGTCAGCGAAGTAAAAATGACCAAATTGGTCAGAGTTTGTAATTTAGCCAGGGGAAAGAAATTAATTATTTCTTCTGGGGATTATGAACAGTTCTTGCGTAGTGGTAAGTATCATTCCCATTAAATTGAGAGCGTGTTTTAAATTTGTGCATTAAATAACTCAAAAATATCTAAAATGTGTGTAATTATTAGTGAAGACCAAATTTCAAGTCGAGACTGACAACGACATCATTTTGGAAGACGACCATGGCGCTGAAGTTGATGAGGAAGTATTCCCTATTCTGTTGGATCAAGGCATAATCCCAGCAATAACATTCAAAATCGTGGGGGAAGACGCAGCTAGTGATGGATCGTACACCCCTCAATGTCAACAAATTTATTACAGTGAGTTTTATAATCTGGATAATATAATAAATAACAATGAAAAGCAAAAGAAATATGTAGCGTTTTTGTGTAGTTAATAGCCCTGCGCCCATTTCGCCTCAATCGCCAGCAACTCCAGCGTCGCCCCAAGGGGAAGACTATTTTAAACAGGTACATACTTACTAGATGTATTTATATGTATCCTAATGGAATTAAATAAAATGCGGAATCAAGTAAATTTTAATGATGTTGCAAATTCTCAGGCTTTAGAAAGTTATATTGAGAGAAAACCAGACTTGAAGGAATTAGTGTCAAATTGTAACGCAGAGAGATTGGTAGACTCGGCGGCCGCAACGAAACTCATAAATGATTTTGTCTCGGTGTTAATTGATTTAAGGGGGTAAGTTTTCCTTGTTGTTATTAGCAGATAATATCTGTCTATAAAATTAATCAAATTAACTTTACAATATATAGGGATTTACCATCCACCTCTGATCAGCTGCGATTTGCCAAGGCAATAATCGAAATTATTCCGTGTTGGAAATACCCGGATTCAATTGATGGAATTGTATGTGCAAAATTATAGCTTCCCTAGAAATTTGAATTTAAATATATGTATATATTATTATTCCCTTATTGCAGGATATTTTGTATGATACTGTGAACCGTTCCGGCTTAATTCAGACTCGTTTACGATGGATTCACCCAAACGTTAAAGAAAAAAACCCTCTAAAATCTTTGAAGCGACCCGTAGCGAGTGGAGCTGGAGCACCCATTTCCAATAAGCAAGACGGACATGTTCAAATTGCTGCTGACGATATCGCCATCGCGGAATTAAATTCCTCACTTCCGGAGGACGAAGTTAGGCGTCTCATGATACAAACCTTGGAGCACAGAAATTATTTGCGAGGCACTAATGAAAACTCAGTCCTCCGGGTGTATCGAAAATTCTTGGAATGCGGATTTCTGGTAATTACTACAAAGTTATTAGCTGTATTTAGATTTTTTTTTACCTTAATTTATTGACACAAATTATGATAGATTAACTTCGAGTTCCAGCTGATGTTTCCAGCTAATGCGGCCAAATTTCTGGACACGTGGGAAACATTGAGGGAGCAAATATTAACAAACTGTAAAAGAATCAGCAAATCGACGGCTCTTCATAAATTCATAAACGATAATGCTGGTATGAATATAATATGGTTATAATTTCGTTAATTTTGCTTATTTCGTATAATCTGCTGGAAAATCAATTTATTTGCAGGAAATTGGGATCGGTCAACTGGCGCATTGTTGGCCCTGCTTTATTTAATCCCCCCGACAGCGCATGGGCGAGGGAAAGGTGCGCGGTGCAAAATTGAAGATGCGGAATCTAGACTTGTAAAATATTTTAAAGTACACATTTACAACATATTTGCTTTGAGTGTTTTTGTTTTATAGGAACATAACCTGTAAATATTCTTACTCTTTTAGAGTGGAACGCCATTGCAGTCAATTTTAGATACTTGGGATTCGGATATCAGTCAACCCACTTTGGTGTACTTGGGCGACGATAAAACAAATCCGTCGACATTTTTCATCATTTGTGACAAGTTGGCCCTTCCGCTGAATGCCAGTAATTCTACAGAGGCCATCGACTCTCTTTTTAAGGCTCATTATGTGATCGGGACAAAATACGACCAAAATTTGGATGGATTATGGAAGTTTATGCAAATTCACGTCTTCCAATTAGACATTCAAAACACAACTCTTCCGCGCAAAGCAAAACAAGTCCTCCAACAACTTTCAAGCCTTTCGGAAAGCAATTGACCAGTAATTTTAATAATATAAATTTCGGTAAAAATGTATTATTGTTCTGAGTGCAGAAATACGTTTACTCGGGTAGAAGATATTATTGTTCATACAAAATACATTCATAATATAGGTAGTGCAAATTTTAGGAAAAGCTTTTGCCCCTTCATAAATTGTTCCGTTCAATTTAGTTCTTGGAGTGGTTATCTTAGGCATTTAAAATCACACGATGTCTCGACCGCAATTAATGTTAGTGAAGTAATTAATGCGGTAGTTAGTCACGAAGCATTGGAATCTCTTCCGACGAATAATAATAATAAGTTGGATGAAGACGAAGTAGTAGAAGATATCTCAGTTGAACTAGGCATTCAAATTATGTCGGATATTTTAAGTAGCTTTTGTTCCTCACTTTTAGCAAAGGGTGTAACAAACACAACAGTAGATTTTGTAGTTCAGGAATTACAATTTAGTTTTACACAAGTAATTAGTTTAGTCCTAAAATTAGGGAAGAAGTTTTGTAAGGATGATTTTGAATTCTTCAGTTGTCAAACTAAAGGTTTAATGCAAGCTTTTGCCACAATTAAATCTTCATATCAAAGACAAAAAATGTTTGAGAAAACGGCCAGACCAATCTTACCCAGAGAACTGTCATTAGGTAGTAGAACTGAATTGAGAGTGAAAAATAACAAACGACAACAAGTAATTGTTCCCGATACATTCATGTATGTCCCATTGCTCAAAACTTTAGAATCCATTGTAAATTCCCCAAAATATTCAAAGTTTTTTATAAATTATAATTCCAATTCGCATGAGGTAAATGTTTACAAAAATTTTAGCGATTCTAAGTCCTTCAAAAATAATATTCTCTTCTCCAAATTTCCTAATTCGATTCAAATTCAATTATTCTACGATGACTTCGAAACAGTAAATCCATTGGGGTCGAAGCGTGGTGTACATAAAATTGGGGGAATTTATTTCACAATAAGAAACTTCCCGGACTATATAAATTCCAAATTAAGTCAAATTCATTTGTTGGCTCTTTTTTATACTGAAGATGCTAAAAAATATGGAATGAACGCTATTCTTAAATATTTAATTCCGGATATCAAGTTACTAGAAAGCAGTGGGATAAAAGTGAATGGGTCTGAAACAATTTACGGAACGATTTCTAGTTTATCTTGTGATAATTTGGGGATGAACTCTTTATTAGGTTTTTCAGAATCTTTTAACTCGCATTATTATTGTAGAATATGTTGCACGTCGAAGACGGAGGCACAAGAGGTGTTTGATCACAATTTGATGCACATTCGGAGTAGACCTGATTACGAACAACATTTGAGACAAAACAAATTTGGGGTTCAATCCGAATGTGCATTGAATGAGCTGCAATATTTCGATTTTTTAAATTCCCCATCAGTGGATATTATGCACGATTTATTAGAAGGGGTTGTGCCATTTGAGATCAAGATTGTGTTGCAAAAACTCATATCTTTAGGCTGCTTTAGCTTAGAAATTGTAAATCAGCGACTTATGGCCCATAACTATGGATATTTAGAATCCAAAAATCGACCAAATCCAATTCGCTTAGATAGCACCGGACACAAAATTGGTCAAAAGGCGGCACAGGCGTGGTGCTTAATAAGGCATTTACCAGTAATTCTGGCTGATCTAATCGTTAGTGAGGAAGGAAGTAAATATTGGGAGCTTATTATTCAACTTTTAGAAATAATGAGTCTAACGTTTTGTAGGAAATTTTCATCTTCTAGTTTACAAATTCTCGACCAGAAAGTAATGACACACCACAAATTGTTTCGTTTTTTGTTTCCACATGAACGACTAATTCCGAAACATCATTTCATGTGCCACTACTCTCATGTAATTAGACAAACTGGGCCATTAATATCTCTTTGGACAATGAGATATGAAGCAAAGCACAATTATTTTGCACAATTAGCTGCACATATTAAAAACTTCAGAAATATTTGTTACTCTCTAGCATTTAGGCATCAACAATACAGCGCATTTATGATGCAGTCCTCCGAATCAAGCGATAGTCTTAAAACTGATCATATATTTATTGTCAATCTTAGTAATTTTGTCGATTCATTCGATTTAATTGAGAGTTTAAGATTATTTGACTGTTATCAAAATTGTGACGGAGAAACACAAATCTATACAACCAACCAGATTTGGTATCGAGGGTATAATTATAAGACGGGGTTTGTAGTTTGTTATGAAATGGGTAACGTATTTCCAAAATTTGGAATTATTAATGAGTTTCTTTTGCCTAACGATAAAACTTGTTATTTGCTTCTTAAGGAACTAGATGTGGAGTATTTTGATCGCCATTATTTTGCGTTTAAAGTAAAACATAAAATTGATATATTCAAAGTTATTTCAATTACAGATTTAGTGGTTCATGACTGTTTTGAAATTCAAAGAAATTGTAGCAATGAATCGTTATATTTAGTTCTTAGACATCATTTATAATTTACACGAGTTGAATGTATATTACAAAATTTCGAGTTTTTAATTATATTGCATAATGTATTATTAATTCGAACATGTCATTGGTAAATTTAAGTTAGTACACTTTAATCGTTGTAAAATAATTAATTTTGTCATCAGTAAATAAATAAATAAATCCTCACTAAATAGTGTCAAATGTTAAGTGCAGGGGGTTATAAATTATTACCTCGAGAGTAACGAATCGATTCCAGATGAAGACAAAGTTGACAAAATTGGGTAATATTATATGTACCATTTAGTAATGAATAACACCAAGTGGTACTCACCTTCAACATAACTCAGGAATGTAACATAACTATTGGGTAAAAACTGATTACTGTGCGATGTTGAACGTGATTGCCTGGTTGCAGTTAAATTTTAACCGCATGGAGCTGAATCATCACTTTGTGGAATTTTTGTGAATCTTTACCACAATGTGCTGAAATCATTACCAACGCGGTAGAGTCATATATGCATTCCGCCTGGTAACGATCTGGTATCAATTTTTTTAAGAGTGTAGCAACATTCGCAAAAAAATACAGCTCGCTACTTCGCAAAAGTTGTTGGCTTGCGAATGGATTTGTTAACTTACGCATCTCCATTTTCCGTCAATTTTGCAATGGATAAAATACCCTAAAATTTACATTAGTTATTAAAGTTCGCCCTTTTGAAGTTTTACATATTTGGTAAATTTGAGTCGGTAACTAATCAATGCAAATTAACGTTGTTTCCCGATAGCAAAATTTAAGACATTTGTATATCAAATTTTCGGAAATTTGTTATTCGCGAAGTGTTTTCACTTCGTTGCTTCGCAAAATTCGCAATTTTGAAAAAGTTATGTTGTGATGCGAACATGCGAAGTCGTAGTGGACACTCTAATTATGTAGTCAAAAAGATTTTTTAAAGATTCTCGGTCGCCTTAATCATACTCGTTTTATGCATAACATGACTAGCCTAGGGAAGGAATTGATGGGCGTTTTAAATATCAGTGTTTTTTTGAAGACGTGGTTTATGCACGTTCCCCAAACATTATTATTCCATTGACAGATTCTCCACGAAATTGTCACCAACCTGGACACAGGTGGCGTTAAGGAGGTTCGGAAAGTCTCCTCTCTCTGGGAAACGGTTGCTAGTCCGATTCTCGGAAAGCGAGCGATATTCTCATTCCTCTCCCATAACCCTACGTACACCCCGGGAGGTTCAAATCCCTCCGTGAACGTGCACCTCTTACGCCGCATTTACTTCAGATACGTTTTCAATTGCCAGCGCCGTGGCGAAAATGATATTCAAAACGTTTCAAATCCACTTCGATTCCCGGATTTTGCTTCCAAATGCAAAAATCAACTTGAGCAGGTCATACATCTTCAAAAAATACTTATTCATTCAAGGTTCATTCATTCAAAACATTGGAAACAATATTCATTCTTTATTCGCTCATTCATAATTTGTAAAAAAAATATTCATTAATTATGCAACATTTATTCATTGTTCACCGTTACTCTCATTTTATTCAAAATTCACAGTATTACATGAATTTCTCAACTTTCCCTATGTATGAAGCATTGAGTTAAAAATGCATGATGAAAAAAATATTTATTCATTATTCATTCACACGAATTGAATAGATATTCACTCAATACATATTCGTTTATTCCAAAATTAGAATAAAATATTCATTCAAGTTTTGAATATGGAATGAATTATTTATTCATTCATCTTTAAATGAATGAATGTGAACATGTATGGAACAGGTCAAGCTCCGTGTCAGCCAGCAATTCCACCCGGGGATGAAGCAATTCCTGGAAATGGGGGGTTTCAAAAACCTTGTCAAAATCAGTATCCACGTGGAAGACGAATTCCCTCATTTGTACAACGGAGTTCAAAATTTCCAACTCCAAATGTCCAACGATTTCCAGAACCTTAAAGAATTCAAGATTAGAAGCCACCGACACGAGAGTCAGGACGGGATTGGTCCAGTTTATCGTGAAGTGACGACACAGATTTTGAAAGTGGCGGGGAATCTGGAAAGATTGATAATTCGGGATAATTTCTGCCCGGATTTGTCCAATTGTAAGAAATTGAAATATTTGAAGTGGATGTGCAACCCGTTTCAGTGGAGGGAACAGCCCACAGACCCATTGTAAGTTGTAATCAAAATAAAAATTAGAGAAATTCATGTTGGTAAGTCTTATTATCTAAAAATAGGAGAATTGCACACCAATTTGGTAAAACTTATCCAACCGCACAATTTAAATTTAAGTCAGTTTAAAGGGTTAACCCTTTAAACTGTAACGAAGACAATTGTCGTTTTATAAGAAATGGTTTAATTCGGGAGTAAGACAAACGTCGTCCTGAAAAATCGTGGTTATGGCGCGGGAAGAAGACAATTGTCGTTTCTAGGAGGTCATTGATTTTCACCATTTTTTCTGCGCGACCTAAAATTTGTTGCAATTTTGGAGGATTTCTCCTATGCCAACACAATGCAAAATTTGTGGATTTTCTTCCCGAAACTTTGGATATTTCCCTATACAGGGCAATCTTAAATTTTGGATTTTTCAGTTTTTCGAGTTTTATTAAAACTCCTGAATTTCTCGTCCCGCGCCATGACCACAGCATACTTATACAGGGTGTTAATAAAGTCCGATCCCATTTTTCCTGTAAAAAA